ATAATGTTTATCTGTACTGTCATCATTTAGAAAGGGTCTATAGACGGCTTCTGTGAATATTACTATTTATACTAAATTTGCTAAATTAGCCTGGCATTACTTGAAAAAATAGGATCACCAATTACTTCTATTGCTGGGGATTATCATTCTTATCTACATTTGGCCTTACTGTTGCTTCTTAAATTTTACTAGCCCCGTAGAATCCTGTTAACTTTCAAACCACATCTAAATCTGTATCAGCCTAACAAAGGGATAGGCCAGTACAGGTAGTCCTCGACCTACGGCCACAACTGAGCGGAATGAGGAATTTGTTAAGCGCGTTTTGCCCCGTTTTACAACTATTACGGGTCACGTTTGTCCAACGGATCGGTGCCGTTGTTAAATTAGCAACACCGTTGTTAAGTGAATCTGGCTTGACTCTGCTTATCGGAAGGTCGCCAAAAGACGGATCACGTGACCCTTGCCATAAACATGAAGGTAAACCACGAGACCGTGGGGATGCTGCAACGCTCCTCAGTGTGAAAAACGACCCTCGGTCACTTTTTCCGACGCCGTCGCAACCCCGAAACGGTCACTGAACGGACTTCCTGTACTGCCTGAATGGGGGAGAGAGAGGCTTGATTCGCGCTGCTCTCCCCTCAACCAGCCACACCGGGGCGCTCTTCTTTCACCCCGCACCCTCCCCACAAGACAAGGGTCGCAAGACCGGGGAAGCCACCACAAAAAAAATCCGCCATCGCCTCAGCCACCTGAAATATCTGAGGCTAACCACCCGGCTTCCTACGGTTATTTATAGTCAAGCGGGAGACCAGAGAGGAGGAATCCTGGCCCTCAGGCCCCGACAAAAGGCGGAAAGGCAGAATATTTAAACACACACATGCCAACCGCCCTCACGAGCCAACGGCTGCTCTCCTCTCAACGGTTTTTCCCCCCCTCCTCCCCTCACGTACCAAAAGGGTTCGAAACATCTTGACGGCTCCACCAATCGCTTCCTGGCCTCCGCCGAGAAACTACCAAGGACACGGGCAAAGGGAAGTGCTGCTTGACGTCACGCGGCCAAACTTCCGCTCAAAGGCGGAAGCGGCTCCTGTGGCGAAGGAGCGTCGCTCTAGCTTCGGGGATATCGGTGGTCAGTGAAAGGGAAGGAGGCGGGGTTGCAGGTGCCGGGATGGACGCTATAGAGCAGTGTTTCTCAACCTTGGCAACTTGAAGATGTCTGGACTTCAACTCCCAGAATTCCCCAGCCAGCATTCGCTGGCTGGGGAATTCTGGGAATTGAAGTCCAGACATCTTCAAGTTGCCAAGGTTGAGAAACACTGCTATAGAGAGAGAGGGAGGGAGGGCTGGAAAGAGTTTTTAAAGGGGAGTTTTTATTTTTATTTTTTATCTCTTCTATGTTTTTTTTTCTTTTTCGCACGAGTGTAACTTTGGCCGTTTGGGCTACAAAGTCGGCAGTATTAATAATAACTTCCCCAAAAGGCGCCGTCTTCCGGTTAGAATAGAATGGATAGAATAACATAGTTTGAAGGGACCTCGGAGGTCTTCTAGTCCAACCCCCTGCCTAGGATAGAATAACATAGTTTGAAGGGACCTTGGAGGTCTTCTAGTCCAACCCCCTGCCTAGGGCAGGAAGCATTACACTTCAGACCAATGGTTATCCAATCTCTTCTTAAAAACTTCCAGTGTTGGAGCATTCACAACTTCTGGTGGCAAGTCGTTCCACTGATTAATTAAACCTCGGCTTTTTTTTCTGAACTTCGAGCGTTGAATCCCAAAAGCCCGTTTCAAAAAAGGAGTTTCTTTTCATTCTGTGGGAGAATTAAACTGGGAGAAGAAACCCGAAGAAACGTAGAACATCAGAAGAATCGGCTCCGAATCTTTCTTGGGATCGAACATCCGACTTCACGGTGTCCAAACCGTGCCTGACCGAATTGCGATGCTTTTTTATCCAGCGATATTTTGTTTTAATTTAGCAAAAATGTTTCTACTTTTAAAAGTTGCCAGCTATGCAAAGATGGCTTTGTTATTTTTATTTTTTTAAAAAACGTTCTTCGTTGCATTCTTTAGAATTTTTAGAGAGAATTCTTTAGAAAGTTCTAACGTTGCTGTCAGCTTTTCATGACAGAGCAAAAGGAATAATTTTCCTCTTGGAGAAGGGGTGGTACTTAAAAAGTTTCTGCACCCCAAGCTGGGAAATCTTATGACTGCATTTCTCTTAGCCTTGCCTGGAAAAAAAAAAGCTCATGGCCAGATTGTTGGCATGTGACATAAGTTTAAATGTAATTAATTTCTAACATTTGTAAGTCTGTCCAATTAAAAATTGATCTGAGCAGAATACACGATTTAAAAACCACATTAGTAGTTATTATTTAAAAAATGGAATGACTGCCAAGAACTAGATTTACAAAAGTGATTGCTATGCTGACTTCAGTTCAGCTCAGTGGATAATATATATTTAATAGAGGGCAGATATAGACAAGATTTTATTCCAAGATGCCAGTTTCTTTTCTGGATTGATGGCCTAAACTTCAGGCAAATACTTCATTCCATCCATCCACTATTATTATTTTCTAGATATGTTTATTAGCTGCACTGGGACTTTTATATATGAATATGACCTTTTAAAAAGGTGTGGGTTTGGTGGGCAGCAACAGAATCTGGGGATATTATGCTGTCCTTCCATCCCCCTCCTGCAAAGTATGGTAGCATAAATGCAATTTACCTCTGATGGCAAACGCTATATATATATGGAGAGAGAGAAAATCAATCCTCACATATAATGGCTAAATTTTAAAATCCTATAAAGTTGTTTTACAATGTTAGTCTCATTTTAAAACTCAGTTTGGGCTATATGGTGCCTTGGAGACTAAAACATTCCCCACAACTGAAATTATGACACATGTGAATGCACCCAATTTTCTCTGTTTGGATCATTTGATGGAAGTAGCATGTGCAGAATGCTAGGACATCTCAGTTTGCAACTGCATCAACTACTTGCCTTGACCACGTTGAAAAAATGTACCGTGAATGGGTATCAAAGGACCCTGGGTGAGGTGGGGCATTCCCAAATGAATGCCCAATCTGGCTGCTCTTTTGGATCCATTCACCCCACTTTTCAGTTTAAATCTATGGATATCAATACAGCTCTCTTGGTTGGCTTTCCAAGGCCCGCTTCCACCAGTCAGCATCTTATCAATTTCTTCTTTGTGACATCTTTGGGTTTCTAAAGGAAAGCTCTGTTGGGTTTGGAGGGCCAACCTCTGAAGTTGAGGTATGTGAAGAGAGTTGAGAATGCAACTACATCAGATCTGTTCCTGTTCAGTTCTCGGTAATCCAACATGAAAGCAAATATGAAACCAGTTTTTACATCAGGTTACTAAACTGGTTTGGTTTGGTTTATTAAATTTATATGCCTGGATATACAGGTAGCCAATTCAGACCTAAAACCAGGACATTCATTTAAAAAAAAATTAAACTCATAACTAACTTTGCCAAATGGTAATGCACAGAATTATTCAAATTCATTCACAATGCCATTTTTCCAAGACAAGAGATGCACATTATAATCCTAGCAGTACTTATTACGGCTATTCAGTGTTTCAAATATGAAGGGAAAATGGAGTTGGAGTTCAAGAGCAGTTGCCTGCTACTTCTCAAAGCACAAACTGTTTTCTTAAAGAACGCACAAGCATTACCTTCACCTACAGCTGCTGCATTATCTGGGAAAAGGTGTATAGGCTAGTTGCAGACCAATTCCTATGCTTGCATCCCCATGTGCCCCCCATTCTTTGCCACCAAATCTGAAACACATGTTCTCTTGAATACAGAAGTATCCATATAACGTGCATACCTCTCACTGAAGTATCCCTACAAATTCTTCTAGAACAAGAAAAGGTGTGGAAGAATTAGTGGTGAAGGCGGTTTCACCTGTGTAGTATTTATACAAGGATGCATCATGCTGTGAAATTCAAAGCTTTTTTTTATTTAGTGTTTCAGATTACAGCATTGGAAAAGACTAATTCTGTAATTGACAGCAGAATCTTAAGTTATTGAACACATTTAAAAGTGCCTTAAGTCATTCCATAACATCCTTGTATATTCATGCTTAGTATACTCATTTTAACAGCAAAAGCTTCTGTTGCATTTAGCATCCAACCTATTTGTTCTGTCATTTCTCAGTTGGTGATTTCTTGAACTCTCTTACAGTTCAAGGAAATGGTCTGTTTTATAGCGTTACTTGCTATTCAGAGCTTGTTTTAGAATAAAATAATCCAGGTAATTCCATTGTAGGAACTGGCAACATTTCCAAAGGATAGTTTTTAATGTTGCCTCACTATTAGAAGAATCTGCCTTGTGCCTAATTTTCCTTTTTAGTCCAAAAATACAATATTAGTTGTCACTGCTTAACTCGCCCAGTTCAGTAATTGTTTCTTTTATACAAACAACTTTCATTCCTCTTTTCTCAATTTTTATTTATTAAATTCATACACTGCCCATCCCAATCAAGCAACTCTGGGTGGCATATTACATGGAAATAGATGCCTTCTTTTCCACACTAAGCAGATTAGTCTAAATTTGTAAACCCTTAATTTTTTAAATCTTACTTTTTGTTAATATTCAGTAAAAGACAGATTGAAACAATTACTTAATCCAAGAGATTTCACCTGGCTGAATAGTGTTTATATTTATTTCTTACAAATAGTTCTTGACAATTGGGATCAGAATTTTATGATTTTTACTGCAGTTGTTAAATGAATTACATGATTATCATGCAGATATGCATAATGCAAATCTGGCTTCCCCAATTGAAGTTGCTTGCCAGAAACCAGCTAGGCAGGCTGCAGATCATGATCACATCTTTGGTGGGAAGGTAACAGCATTCTGTGCGCCTTCGGTGTTTAGTCATGCCAGCCACGACCACGGAAATGTCTTCGGACAGTGCTGGCTCTTCGGCTTTGAAACAGAGATGAGCACTGACCCCTAGAATCGGGAATGACCAGCACATATGTGCAAGGGGGACCTTTACCTTTAATCTTGTTATCCTGGCAGTGTGCAAGAGTCAAACTATGCTTAAATGTAAACACGGCAAGTGTTTAAATATGTAATAGGTGACAAAGTAACCACGTTGTGAATGAATAAAAGTGATCAAATTGTACTGGTTTTTAAGAAATTCTTATCTTGTTCTGCTGGAATTCACCCTTCGCAGTTTTTTCTACCAGTTGTTTGCAGTAAGCATGACTGCCAGTTGACCATAGGTACAAGAAAAAGATCAGCTAATACAAAATCATTTTTTTTTTGTCAAGTTAAAAGTTTTTATTCTCGGTAAAAATATTTTTTTCAAAAAATAATAGTCCTTTAGGGGCTGTAAATTTGAATATATTTACAACAAGCTTTTAAGATAATTACTTTTCTTACTGTAGGAAACAGTGATAATAGGTTTTTAATGGGCATGTTTGAAAGAGTTGTCAACTTAAAGACCATTGAAAGAGCTGACACAATCAATGAAAATTATTTTATGTGAAGATAGATATTTCTTGCCTGTTAAGATAGGCTAGTAAATAGATAAACTTATTTCCTCCACTAACCATGACCAAAATCAACAAAGTTGGTGATGGTAGTGGGGGAATTCAACTTTGTTGATTTCAAGTACTTAAGATATTTACAATTAGGTGGCTGTTCCAGAGGCTTGGACTGAAAAAAAATGTAAGTTTGAATACTTCATTCAAGTTAGTTTAGTCTTATCCATACACCTGGAGCTAATTCATATTAAATCCATTTACTTTGTGTGAAACCAGATATAATACAGTAATAGAGTTTTTAAAAGCCCATACTGCCTGCTTTCTTCCATAATTTAAAGAGAACAGTATAATTAGTATGACTATCCTTTGCCAATAAAATATTAACACTCATTGGTGAATACTCATTTAGAATCCATAATCTGGTGGTACTAGGATATTACTTTGTATATCATAGGAGCTAGAAAAAACATTTGCATGCAAGAAGTATTTTGGGGATAGAAAAGGGTTTGTCCATGGAAGTTGCTTAAATAGGGGAAAAATCTATTAGATTTTACTTCTGGTTGTTAAGTTCCAGATTTGTGATGTATTGAAACTTCCAAAGTTACTGTGTTCAAGTTGTTTTTTGACAGCCATCAGAGATAAAGCTGCTTTAAGGAGATACATTTCAGATAACCACATTGTTTCATAAAACATATGATATCATTTATTAAATAGCAAACATTCAGATTGACAAGCAAATTTCATGTAAAACAACATCTATGTACACAGCAATTTATTATATATATATATTAGTATTAATATGCATATATATGTATGTATAGGTATATATGCATACATATAGATACATATATATGTATATATATACATAGTTTTAAAGTCCCTGGTCTGTTTCTTACAGTGTGGACAGATTGGACTTAAAGAGTGCAAGATGCAAAAGTTCCCACAGCAACTTTTAGCTTATTTTAATGGAATATTTGAGGAACACAAGAGCTTTGAGTGAAGGAACTGTAACATCTTCTGAAACAAGCAGACTGCTTCAAGCTTATAATAAATGCTTAAAGCCTTGTTTTTTGTAACCAAAAGAAATGATTTTTATTTACTGCCACAGTAAATAAATCTCTTTACTTCTATTGGAATAAGCTCAGTGATTTAAGCCACATAGAGTGCTGAACATAAGATTGATATTTGAGCAGAACTTAATGGAAGAGTTTTCTATGCCACAGTTACTTCTGTGTTGAAAGCAGCTTTCATGTCACTGGGCAAAAAGTAAGCTTTTAGTTGAACCAAGCCACATGTCAAAACACACTTACTGGAATTGTGAACATTAAGCAGGAAGTTGGGCTTAATTCATATTGAGTTGTACACGAGTTACAAAGCTCATGTGTGGAATATTTTGGTTGACAAAACGTAAACAGGCTTTTGTTCCTTCCAAAAACCAGCACACTGTTGGTCCTTAAAATGCTAAGAAGCTATTCTAAACACATTCTTGCTATATAGTATTGACATGTAAAGCATACAAATCAGCAGCAGATGCATTAGGTGAGGAAAGACTATATGCACATCATGGCACCTGTCCAGCAAGAAGCAAATTTCAAAAAGCCCCTCGTCAACACTGTTTTACAGCTCTTATCTTCAGGTTAATCCACCGTAAGGGAAACGAAGGCTTCAAATATGGTTAGGTATTCTGTCTCAGAAGCAACTACCAGGGATCTAGCTTTCAAAAGCTGTGTCCACTCTGGACTTTTCTTGATGCACATGCAGTACATGTGATTTGGAGCACTTAGATTAATTGGGAATGTCTGCACTATTGTTCCGGTTTCCGTATTTGTGGTGAATGACAAGCAGCACTACTCCAAGAAAGAAACAAATGGAGCCCACTGTTATATACGCTATTCCCAGGAAAGGATTTTTGCCTCCCATCCAAGAAATGGTGCTCAGGATCATCCGTTTCCGCCCATCAAAGCTATGCACAGGATAATCTGACATATATATAGGAAAAGCGCACAGAGATATTGAAGTTGCATAATACTAAACATCATCCTAAACAAAAAAGGGTAGTAATACAAAATGGTATAATCAATCTATTTATTATGAAGCTATTCTGCTACACAAAATATTGTAAACTAACTAATGATTTGTTTGTTTTAAAAAGCAAAACCAAGTTTACTAGTTGCAGAAGTTTTTAAAAAGTGAGGAAATACTCAAGAATTGTTTCAATTATGTAACTATATCCTCAGTAGGATAGAAATAATTGAATTTGAATCTAATGGAAGTTGGGGAGCATTTAAGATTTTATGTTAGGGGGCCTAGTGGATCTCCTTATGAATAAGCAACATCCAATCTTAAAAATGTTAAAGAAAATCTCCACTGGCTTTTAAACCTAATACTGTATGGAGTTGGTCCTTTAACAAATTAGCTCCTAAACACTACCTCTGCTCTACTCACCTCTTATAATAATGATACAAAGAAATGGACCACTATAGTCATCAACCAAATAATTTCTACCTTTTCCTAGCATTATGAATGTGTTCACACAATAACAAAAATGTTATTGCAATCTTCTATATATGTAGGCTTCCCTTGGTTGAGAATATGCATGACTCTAAAACCAGGGAATTATCTACACTATTTCCATGCCACATAACCAAATAATATTATAATGAAATACATCACATATAGACAAATACCCTACCATGTAGGTCCTACAACCTTTTCGCACTCAGTCTGTCCCCTTAGGTGAATGATACATAAATCCACTTAGTCAGCTTATGGGAACTGTTTTAGTGCATTTCTGTAGAAGGCAATGGGAAAGTAAGGCTGCTGTAGACAGCATTAAGACTGAAAACACTAAAGAATATTCAATTTCAAATACCAATTGTATATCAATATAAATTTGGAGCATTCTGTTATATTGGTATTGCAAAATTGTTCTAGTTCTGGGTCACACAATTTTTAAAAAACTGTATTGTATACTTAGCTTGCAGTCTTACTTTATCAAGAATTATCTGTTTAATGACATTATGCAAACATTATCAACCGCCATTCCTTATAATGTTCAATAAAGGATACTATATTCTATTTCCAAAGAATATTTCCCAGCTGGCAGAGTAGGTTGTAAGTTATCTTTCTTCTCTATAAGACGATACAGCTTACGGAATGTAGGTAGTGCTGCAGTACGCATCCATACAATAAAGTCTTCATTGATGAATCCATTGTTGTCCTGATCATCATCTAACAAATACACTGGGCGACGCCAGTTGACAGGTTTTGATGTTCCTTATAAAAAATGCAAACGCTGAAATTAGTCAAGATAAGTGATCTTCAGAAAAAGATGCTTCTGCATTTCACTAAAAACATATTTCAAGTTACCCTTGTAAAAACTCGTTCAAACCATGTGCGGCCAGTCTTATTTCCAATATAATCTTTTAGAACAGAAACAGCAACACAGTAACTTCTTTTAAAAAGCCAGGGGGCACCCTAGAGTTTTACAAACTAGATTTTTTTTCCAGCTCTGTATAGCCTTGGTAAGAGATACTAGGACTTATAATTCAATATTCTGCATGGTCATTCCCACCCTCCTTTGAGGACATCTTCTGTAATTTTAAGTGGCAGACATGTTTGTCCAAGTACATTTTACTCCTTCCATCATAAATTATTGATTGACGCAGTGAGAAGACGGAGTTTCAGGCTATTCCTGAAATTCCCCTATTCCGAAGGAATTTTGGACGGATCGTCGGACCCTAGCTGTCCCGAAGAGACAGTGAAAGGTGAGGGGAGATCCAGTGACCTCAGACACGTTCGCAAAGTCTCTGGGGGACTTGGAATTAACCCCTCCTGCCAACTCCTTTCTGGATTAGATGTATGCTAACCGAAACTGCAGGTTGCCCCTAAGAATGGTG